TTGCTGTGATTGCCCTTGGGTCTTATTCATAAACTCTTTGCCTAGGCCATTATCTAGAAGAGTTTCTCCAACATTTTCTTCTAGAATTCTTATGATTTCAAGTCTTAGATTTAAGTCTCTTATCCTTCTTGAATTAATTTTTGTTTGTGGTGAGAGATATGGACCCTGCTCCAGTATTCTAAATGTGGTTATTCAATTTTCCCAGCGCCATTTATTGAATAGGGATTCTTTTGGACAGTGTGTATAATGATGTCTACTTTTCAAAGATTACATGGAAATATGTGGATGGTTTTATACATGAGTTCCCTGTTCTGTTCCATTAGTCTATGTCTCTATTTTTGTGCCAGTAGCATGCTGTTTGGTTACTATAGCCTTATAATATAACTTAAAGACTGCCTCCAGATTTGTTCCTTTTGCTTAAGTTTACTTTGGTTATTCAGGCTCTTTTCTGGTTCCAAATGAAGCATAGAATTATTTTTCTAGATCTGTGAAAAATGACATGATATTTTGATGGGGATTGCATTGAATCTATAAATCACTTTGGGTAGTGTAGACATTTTAATAATGTTGATTCTGCTGATCCATGAGCATGATGTGTTTTTCCATTTGTTTACATCATCTGCAGTTTCCTTCCTCAGTGATTCATAGTTCTCTTTGCAGAGATCTTTCACCTCCTTTGTTAAATATATTCCTACGTATTTTATTTTCTTTCTTGCTATTGTGAAAGATATTGGGTCTTTGATCTGATTCTCATCTTCACTGTTGTTGGTGTATAGGAATGCTACTGATTTATTTACACTGATTTTGTATCCTGAGACTTTGCTGAATTTATTTATCAATTCCAGGAGTCTCTTGGCAGAATCTTTTGGGTTTTCTAGATATAAGGTCATATCATCAGCACAGAGTAATAACTTGACCTCCTCTTTCTCCATTTGGATATCCTTAATTTCCTTCTCTTGCCTGATTTCTCTGGGTAGGACTATTACTAGAGCATCATGTTGAATAGAAGTGGTGACAGTGGGCAGTACTATGTTGAATAGAAGTGGTGACAGTGGGAATACTTGTCTTGTTCCAGTTCTGAGTGGAAATTCATTCAACTTTTCCCCATTCAGTATGATGTTGGCGGTAGGTTTCTTCTTATACAGTTTCTTATAATTTTCAGGTAGGTTCCATCTATGCCTATTTTATTAAGATTTTTTATCTTAAAAGGGTGCTGAATTTTGTTTAATCCTCTTTCTATATCTATTGAGATGATCATATGTTTTTTGTTTTTGCTTCTTTTTATGTGAATCACACTTATGGATTTACATATGTTCAACCATCTTTGTATTGCTGGGATTTAGCCAGTGGGTCATGGTGGATAATTTTTTTGATATTCTGCTGAATTTGTTTTGCTAGAATTTTAATGAATATTTTTCCATCTATATTCCTAACGGATATTTGTCTATAGATTTCTTTTTTTGTTGTGTTCTTTCCTGGCTTTCATATCAAGATGATACTGGTTTCATAGAATGAGTTGGAAAGGATTACTTTCTTCTCAATATTATGAAATAATTTCTGCAGTACAGGTACCAATTCTTTGTAATTTTTGATTAAATTTTGCTGTGAAACCATCTGGTTTGGAACATTTTTTTGTTGAAAGATTTTTTTTTTGTTGCTTTTTCAATTTCATTGCTGGTAATTGGTCTGTTTGGGAATTCCATTTCTTCATCATTGACCCTTAGGAGGTTGTGTGTTTCTAGGAATGGATCCATTTCCTCAATGTTTTTCAGTTTATGTGCATAGAGATTTTTATAGTATTCACAGATGATATTTTGTATTTCTGTAGGGAGAGTTGTAATATCTCCTTTTTCATCCCTGATTGAGCTTATTTGGGTCCTTTCTTTTCTATTTCTAGTTAATCTAGCAAGAGTTCTATCAATTTTTTAAAAAACCAACTCTTTGTTTCAATTTTTGTAATTTTTTAAGTTGCTATTTTATTTATGCTCTCTCTTTTTTTTCTTACTTGCTACTGGTTTTCAATTTTATTAATCTTTTCATAAAACCAGCTCTT